TATTTTAGGACCTTATGTTATATCATATAAGCTCTCACTTACTTATTGACAACATAAATCCAAGGGAACACAATTATGAATAAAACATTGACAATCGAAAACAATAATTCATAAAGTGTAATACCATGTATATATCAAATATAAAAGCTAAATGTGATCAAGTACACATGTCTTTAAAAAATGATTGTCGCTAGGACATATATACTAACAATCTCCCACTTGGCCTAGTGCTAATCACCAATGCGTCTAACACCTAGATTCTCAAAATGTCTAGTATGTTTCTCGCAGCTCAAATGTTTGGTGAAGGGATCAGCCAAATTGTCCTTAGTGGAAACACGTTCTATTGCAACCTCTCATCTTGCTATCTGCTCTCGAATCACATGATAGCGCCTCGGCACATGTCCATTCCTCTTGTCGCATCTTGGTTCCTTTGCTTGTGCAACAGCACCAGTATTGTCACAATAAATGGTTATTGGATGACTATCATTTGGAACAACCCCTAATTCTTTGAGGAATTCACGTATCCATACGGCCACTTTAGCTGCTTATGATGCAGCAATGTACTCGGCTTCTGTTGTCTAATCAGCTGTAGTGTCTTGCGTGGAACTCTTCCAGTCTACTGCTGCTCCATTGAGATTAAAAACATATCCTGATTGTGACTTATAGTCATCCTTATCTGTCATGAAGCTAGCGTCAGAGTAACCAGATGCTATTAGTTTCTCTTGTCCACCATAAACCAAGAAATATTCTTTAGTTCGTCTAAGATACTTAAGAATAGTCTTAACAGCACTCCAATGTCGTTCTCCTGGATTATTTTGATATCGACCAACAATACTAAGCGCATAAGTCACATCTGGTCTAGTACAGATCATAGCATACATGATTGAACCAATTGCGGAAGCATATGGAATCCCTCTCATGCGTTTGATCTCATCATCAGTTGAAGGACTATCCTTCTTTGATAACGATATCCTATGACCCATCGGGATGAATCCTTTCTTAGATTCTTCCATTTTAAATCGATGTAGTATTTTGTCAATATACGTGGATTGTGAAAGACCTAACATCCTGTTAACTCAGTCTCTATAGATCTTAATCCCAAGGATATAACAGGCTTCACCTAGATCTTTCATCATGAAGATATTGGATAACCATTCTTTCACAGATTTCAATAAGGGGATATCATTCCCTATGATCAGAATGTCATCAACATATATGACCATAAAGACCACGCTATCCTTGCTGTGTTTTGTATACACACACGCATCCTCATTGCTTCTGATGAAGCCAAACGATTTTACCGCTTCATCAAAACGGATATTCCAACTCCTTGAGGCTTGCTTTAGCCCATATATGGATTTCTCCAATTTACATACTGATTTGGGATTTGACTTGGATATAAAACCTTCAGGTTGTACCATGTACACCTCCTCCTTGAGGTTTCCATTAAGGAAAGCAGTTTTGACATCCATTTGCCAAATCTCATAATCATAGTATGATGTTATCGCAAGCAAAATTCGAATGGACTTGAGTTTTGCAACTGGCGAATAAGTGTCACTATAGTCAATTCCCTCTCTTTGACTATAACCTTTAGCCACTAGCCTAGCTTTGTATGTTTGCACCTTGCCTTCAGCATCAATTTTCATCTTGAGGCAGCAATTGTTACTATCTAAAAGTTGTGTTGAATAGCCTTGAGGCAGCAGGTGTTTTGAGAGAAGTGGCAAATTACCTAGACACCCATGTTCAAAATGTTGAGCTTATTGCAAGTACGGTATGGGTGGTATCTGCAATTATAGACAATGTTCCACTGGTTGCAGCCACAATGGGAATGTATGACCTCTCCTCCTTTCCTAAAGATTAAGAGTTCTGGCAACTGGTAGCATATTTTGCTGGTAAAGGCGGGTCCATGTTTATTATAGACTCTGCAGTTGGAGTTGCTTTTATGGGGATGGAGAGAGTTGACTTCCTTTGGTATCTCATGAAGGTTTGTTTGTGTTTCTTTCTGGCGCAGTTGATTTATTGATAGTCTAAGGGTTTGTTTGGATCTCGGACAATGCTTTGAAGATACAGGATAATATGCTGATGAAAGCTTATTGGAAAAGTCAAAGGAAAATGAAATATTTGCTCCAATGTTTTTTTACATTTAATATACTACCTCTTTCCCGATGGACTTTGCCAAGTGCAAAGTAGGTGAGAAATAAGAATAATAAAAAGTGTGTGGTTGAGATTTGTGTAGAGTAGAGAGAAATGTGCAGAAGCACAAAATATTTGCTTTAATATGAAAGTGGCAAAGTTTTTTAGGACAACCAAGAAGGGAAAATTGGCAAAGTCCAATGGGACGGAGGAAGTATATATCTTGTATATATGTAGTACATACAACTGAAGGGGAGTCTTAGCATATGGGTAAAGGTGTTACTATGTGACCGAGGAGTCATTGGTTCAAGTTTTGGGAGTGGTCTCTTATGAAAAATTGACTAGAGAAGGCTTGTACCTATACACCCTAGTGGTGGTACTCTTCCCCGGACCTTCGCCCAGTGGGGATGCACATGTGCATTGGCTTTCCCCTTTTTATTTAGTAATCATAATGAAGTAAAGTGAGTATCAACAAATACCTAAAATCAATTTGAGTTTTAGCTTATCTTTATTTGTCCATACACTTTCATTTTCGTTTATGTTTTCTTTCCCTAGTATATTCTAGGTCTTAAACGAACCCTAATTCTACCAAAAAATGTCTCTGCCTCTACAAATTGAAACATTTTAAAAATAAAATGTTGTACATTATGCAGGTCAGTGGATTTGCTTTTGCTGCTGGAATTGATGCATATCTGGTTGTTCACAATATGAACCTTTCTGAAGTTCCTTTCATTTCTAGTTCATGAATTGATTACAGAAGGATGTCAACCACTCAATTGTATAGGCAAAATCTCCACCAGATGGGAAGCAAATTTTTCATGGGAAAACCTTTGCTTGAAGATAAAAAGGGGCAAGTGATGTTGATCAAATGATCACCATACTCCTTTATTTAGTTGTACAAGAATCTACATGAGAAAATGTATTTTTGCCAACACCAGACTGAACTTTTCTTTGGAACTTTTTCCGGAATTCTATTGTTCGTGAATTATGTACGTTGATGTACAATATGTTGTGATGTAAGATACGGTTTTAAAACAATAATTCTTACACGTTTTAAAATTCTTTTTTATAAATATGACATGATACGTTGGTGCATATAGTGTGTGCAATATACACACATACACGGATGCACATCTATGTATTACCAAGTTTAGTGCCCCATCATACTTGGTTAATTTTTGTAATTAAGTAGGGAAACTTGGTACATGCCAGTACTTTAAGAAACTCAATTAACAACCACAACAATAACATCAAGTCTTTGTCCCAAAAGTGTTTGGAGTCAGCTAACATGAATTGACATAAGAAAACGGAGTTAATAAAGGTCGTGACCTTCATATTTTTAAATTTTATCTATATTATGTGATGTGAATAAATTATAATGTTAGTTGTCATATGCCTAACATGCTCTCCTCTTTGTCTATCCTTCTTTAGGACAAACATAATATAAAAACGGTCTCATAGTCTTTAAGAAGTTCAATCCAACCTTTTAGCAGTATAAAAAAGAAGAATGTGAGACCGTTTCGAGAAGATTTGTAGGTGGGTTAGTAATCCAACCTTTTTCTTTCCTTTTTAACACGGTATTAAAAAAAATCAAAACCCAATTAGAAATAAAGTGATATGGTTTAGTTATTGAATCAAACTATTGTTAAATATTACTGGACGCTTAGGTTAGGTGAAACAATATTATTATTATATTAAAATGGTGTAGCGTCCAGTTCAAATTTCGACTCGGTTAGGTGAAACAATATTATTATATTAATCACATATTTTTTCTCTAGAAAAAAAATATGAAAAATAAGATTTTTTCATATGAAATGAGTGGTCCGTTATCTCAATAGTAAATAAATTTTAAGTACAAAAATTTATAAAATCAAAACATTAAATTGAAATGATAAAATACTACTATCTCTATCCCAAAATAATAGTCATATTTTACTATTCAATGGTCAACACACATTCACTATAAATCTCAAATTATGTGTATCAGTTTTTTATTATATTCAACCTAAATTTTTGCGATTCAACATACTTTTATTGTAATTTCTAAATATATAATTTGTAATATTAATTATAAATACCATTTTGTATGAGAAAATTTAATTTTTATCAGTAAACATTCAAAATTCACGACAAAACTATCAATGTGGACAGGACTCCAAGAGTAGTAATAAAAGGAAACAAAGGAAACACAGAACAACTTCACCCCACATTACTTCAAAACTGGATGCTACGCCATTTTAAATACTTTGAGCTTACACTCCAATGTGGGGCTTCTCTCACACACGACACACAACTATTTGGCATTCTTTTCGCATGCGCTGGTATGAATTCCAACTTTGATGCAAACATGGACCAAATAGGATGAACTCATGGACCCGATCATGGTTCCAGAACCACTTCGAATTTGGGATACACATGGGGTATGTAATATGTTTGGCACGATTAATTGAAAAAATACTATTATAAAATTTTTAGTAATTTTTTGTATATTTTCTTTAGAATAGTACAAAAACTAAAAGATTATATCTACCAAACATGCACATGACTTCAACTCCAAAATAACCGAGTCCAGTAATTGAAGTAAAGGAATCGAGTTATCGAGCTATACACCGATTGTTGAGACGTTCAATTTCACATAGTACCCAAATTTGTTCCAAATCCAAACCAGTTACTTCTTCCAAAGCAAGACTTTTACTGATGAGTTCTGGTTCAATTTTTGCTTTCTTTTGAGAAAAGTTAAAAAGTGAACGTAAATTGAGTCGATAATCACTTTACACGATTAAGATTCTGATCATATCTTTACCCTTGCAGCCTTGCTTGGAGTGGGCAGGTCTAGATTCGGCCCAAAATCGGCCCTAGTCTTGTCCTAAATTAAACTTGGAGTCTTGGACTAGTTGCCCTTTTCCATTTATTTAATGAGAAAATTGAAATTCATACAAATAAAACACATTTCATACAGAAAACTTGAACATTGATCACAGCTAATAGTGCTCGAACTTTGTTCATACTCTAAAAATTGCAAAAGCAAACAATTTCTTTTCCCGGCAAATCAGAACTACAAAAAAGTCACATATAGAAGTTTGAGAGGTATTTAGAATTGCTTTATAACTTAAGGAATACGAACTCCTCAACAGCAGAGATCTCACCAATCCTCTTCAACGATTCCTTGCTAGGCTGTTCATCCACTCCAATGGCCATCACAGCATGCTTCCTTGGAGCAATCCTCCCAACACTCATGAAACTCACGTTTACATTCTCCTGCCCTAAAATGCTGCCCACCTTCCCAATCATACCTGGCTGATCAACCTGTCTGCAAAGAATGATACTCCCTTCCAAACTCACATCAACCTCAAAGGAACCAACCTTGGTCAAATGCGGGACTCCGTCTTTGACACGGCCCTCCACTTTAATCTCTCCTGACTCGGAAATGGCACTAGCAAACTTTGACTCCACGTTTGCAATCTGAACCTGAATGAACTCGAGCGGGCTTTCAGGGGAACCATCTAGAACTACCCGTTCTTCAGATATACGGATGCCTCTCTGCTTGGCAGTGAAATCCGCGTTGACTAAGTTGACAAAGACGCTGGAGATGGGTTCGATAAGACCCTTTGTTATCATGGCACGAAGAACCCTTGTGTCTAGGTCATCTGGGGCTCGTGCGGATCCATATGTCACTTTCACAGACTTCACACCGCTTCCACCTGTTACTAATTGGACAGCAAGTCTACCAAGTTTTTCAGCTAGAACAACAAACGGCTTCAACTCTGCCAATACCTGCATTCAAACGGTTGTTGTGTTGAGATTAACATCAAGTGTATGTTTGGATTGACAGCTTGGAGGGCGGGCTTTGGAAGGTTATACAATGTTCTTGGAATGAGTAAACAGAGATTGAAATAGAGGGTTATCCTAAAATATTACTAGAATAACTTATGGAAAAATAATATGACTACATGGACATCACAGTCGCAATCAAAACACCACCATAGTCATCATATAAAGTAAAACTAAACATCACCATGGTCACTGTGAAAGTACCATTGTGGAAACTGCGTATTAGAAATTATATTTCTGCCCAGCATTTATTTTAGTCATATACTAGTCATTATTTCACAAAATATAGCATTACCACACAATATGAGTCTTCAGTCTTTATAAATCTCAAGTATATATCAAGATATACACTTAGGTCAAACCCATCCCCTATAAAACACAACTCCCAGACTGACCCAAAAGGTCAAATCCATCCCCTTTTCTTGCAAGGCTAGGAAGGCAGATAGTGCAACAAGAAATGGTTTTCATAAGCAGAAACCAAGAGCTAATGGTGAATGATAATAGATCTAATGACAGCACCATCATCAATTATGCTATTCTCTTGTCCCTTGTGCGAAGTTCATTACAAATGGTTGGGGGATAGTGAGAATTGGTGCATCTATGTGTCCCAGTGGAAAATCGAGTCTAGCAGAGAAAAACTTCTGTTACACAGTCTCACTGATAGGGGCCAAAATATACTACTTCCGCCACACAAAATATTCATATTTCACCGAGGCTTGGATTCTTTTGTTCAAATAAGACTTTTTTTGGATGATGGGGGTAACACTTATAAAAGTTGAGAGTATAGTTATCAAAAAGCTGTATTTCATGCACGGTACATCTTATCATGACATAGAGACAGGGTAAAAAAGGCAAAGGCAAGGAAAGCTTAGCACGGAGGTAATAAAACTATGTGGTGATATTTATCGCAGATCCTTAGTAAGAGCAAAATGGAATTAATTGATAATACCTCAGCTGGGACCATTGGTGCATTGACAGCAGTAGCAGCAAGCTCTCCTTTCAGAGCTCCAACTACTGCTTCAGCAATTTCAATAGCAACTCCTTCCTGAAGTAGATTTTCCAAAAGCATATATTAATAGCACATTACAAAACAGTCGTGCAAATAGTCAAGGATATCATCCCCAGTGGCACACTAACCTGAGCTTCCATAGTGCTAGCACCAAGATGTGGAGTCACAGTTACTTGCTCATGCTGTACTAATTTACTATCTTTTGCTGGAGGTTCCTCCGTGAAAACATCAAGTGCTGCCTAAGATTTAAGAATGAAGTGAAGAAATACAAAATTACAAAATATCCTTGGTTATGGACAAATTAATGAATAAAGAAGAATCAGTACCTGTGCCACGATGCCAGCATCAATGGCCCTAACCAATGCTTCTTCATCAATAACTCCCCCACGAGCAACATTGACAATCCGAACACCTTTTTTCATCTTGGCAAATGTTTCATCATTTAGAATCTTAGAGGTGGTGGGAGTGAGTGGCATGTGAAGGGAGATAAAATCTGCAGATGACATGGCTTCATCAAAGCTCACAAGATCCACTCCAATTGCACGTGCACGGTCAGCTGGGGCATATGGGTCATGAGCTATGACTTGCATACCGAGACCCTTGGCACGTCTAGCTACTTCAGATCCAACCTTACCAAAACCCATCACGGCAAGTGTTTTTCCAACCAAGGATACCCCAACGTACTTATTTCTCAGCCACTTTCCTGCATTGGAATTGTGTATTGTCTAAAAATGAAACCATGAATAAAAAATGAACCAGAAAACAAAGAACGCATATTCTTCATAGTGAATCACAAGTTAAAATCATTAAATTTGATTTTCAGCTCTCTTTGAAATGATACAAAATATAAGAGAATAGGTGTGTCTATACATCTTTGCTTTTGTGGCTCCGTTTGGTAGCATTTTTCAACTTATAATGCTTAACCGCAGAGTCAGTAGTTTATTAATTTGGCTTAAATCAGTTTAACCAAATGTTTTTCCATTCAGAAAATTCGACCATTTCAACCAAGTAATGCTTACTAGACAGGCTCTAATAGCAATCAGCTCCACAGCCTCTACATGTCGAGGTCCTTTGATACAAATAGACGCATCACAAGTTCCATGTTCTCTATAAATAATACTACGTACTTTGTATCAAGAACTCTAGAAATATAGAGTAAATATATAGGAATAACGGAAATATGTTCAAATATAAAACTTTGGCCCCCACATCTAAATTTTTCAAGCTCTTATCCCCTAAGATAACATTTCTGGCTCCGACATAGTAAAAAGCTAAACTACTTTCTTACAATCTATTCTTTACTAGCTTACTACCCAATGATCTTTTGCCCATTTTTTGTTCATGTACTTCATTGATCTTTTATCCTGTCACTAACTACTGTTGATTAATTGCAATGAAAAGAAGATGCTTGAAGGGGGAAAAGGTTATGTTCGATTCTTCCTTTTAATAATAAAAAGGTAAAGAATCAGATCTGAATGATCCTATCATTTTGGTTTCCTGCAATGGGGCAACAAATGAAAATGGACCTTATCAAAGATAGAAAAGATTACTAACCAGCTTTGACAGAGGCATCAGCTTGGGCAATGTTTCGAGACATAGCAGTGAGCAATGCGATGCCGTGCTCGGCAGCCGCCACCGTGTTAGCAGTCGGCGCATTCACCACGAGGCATCCATGCTCAGTCGCAGCCGCGAGATCGACGTTGTCGATTCCCACACCAGCTCGCCCTACGACCTTGAGGCGCCCTCCGGAAGATTCGAAGACCTCGCGGTTAACTTTGGTGGCGCTGCGGACAATAAGGGCGTCGCAGAGGGAGATCTTGGTGCAGAGGTCCTCGGGGGTGAGGTTGTAGGCGCAATCAACATTGGCGAACTCCTTGAGGAGGGTTAGCCCAGCCTCACCGAGCTTCTCGGCAACAAGGACAGTGGGCTTGGCGTCCATGGCCAGCACCACGAATCGTGAGGCACGGCGGCGGTGGGAAGAGAAAGACGCGACGCGGAACGCTGACGGGGAGGAGAGTTGGCTCTTCCATGAGAAGGGGGAGGAGGTGGAGCCTTTAGCGGCGAGTATGGTGGTGGTTGAAGAAGCCGCCGCCATTGGAATTGAGTTGGCCTGCTGTGGAAAATCAGATGCGAATTTATTTAGGGAGAAAGAAATGGGATATTCTTGTACTCGTACTTCGTATACGGAGTATTTTTATAGTTACCCGACAGTGGCGTGGTTGGTGGATTGATTTTCGATTCGTTGAAGTGAAGCCAATCAGATTTTATCACTCAATCAAAAGGCATTTCTTCTCTCAATCGAACGAAGGGTATGTTTTCTTTTGGTTTTGAAACACATTAGATTGATGGGAATGTGTTTAATTTGTTCCAAGTTGTGTTTGGTTAATATTACTAGAATGTGACATTAATTTGTTTAGTTAAATGATATCTTATATGGAGTTTTCCCTTAATATTACTAAACTTAGCCTAATTTTCAAAAAAGTAATCACATTTAAATTTTGACAAAATGTGACTAATGCAGTGACATTTCCGTAGTGACATCCTACACCTTATTTTCGTAGTGACATTTCCATCATCACCGGCCAAAGTGACGCATACACAGTGACACCACCGCCGGCCATAGTGACATACCACCGACCACAGTGACACCGCCGACGGTCACCGTGACACCTCCGACAACCACAGTGACATTGTCGCCGGCACCGCTCGAAAACCACACTGGCGTCGGTCACAGTGACACCTCCGGCGACTATAGTGATCCCACCGTCGGCACCGCCCGAAGACCACCACCGCACTGCTTCTTCCAGTTATCATTTCAGATGTCACTTACCGAAAAACGTGTCACTGTGTTGACGATTTTCCGGCGACTCACCATCAAAAGTTTCACCGGAAACCACCACACTGCCACCTCAAAACCGCCGCCATCACCCTAACCCCAGCACCAGCCCCCCTCCCATGCCTCCCGCTCTCCTAGCCCGGGCTTCACTGCCCCGTCCACTGCCAACCCTGCCACCTAACCCCCCGCCACAACTGACCTGCCACAACACCACCCAGCCACTGCGGTCGCCGCCCCTATGCCTACCCCAGACCCAGTCCCCTTCCCCTGCTTCCCCGTCCCCCCACAACTTTCCTGCCCCATCTCCAGCATATTTGCCCCAGCGCCGTCCAGCGCCGCGCCAGCCCTGCGTCCCCCAGCGCCATCCAGCGACTCGCACAACCTAAACAATCACCTCCCTGCCTCGCCTAAGCCCTAGCAGCCCCAACAACCACGAGATCTGAAACAGGGCGGCGAAATCAGATCGATGAAGCAACGAAAAAGACGATTCACAACAAAGAAGAAGAAGGTATTGCGCAGAAAAGAAGAAGGCGATTCAAGGTAGCCTAAAATAGGGTGGCGACGGCGACGGAATTGCGACGGCCGCAACCCTGGTAGCCGGCGGAGGCGACGCGACGCGAAAGCAGGCGGCGGAGGCGACGCAGTGGCAGCCGGTGGAGACAAGAAACGGCCGTCCTTGCTGGCTGCGGAGGCGAGACGGAGGATCTGCTGCGAGGTGGGGAGATGAAGAGCTTGCTGGGATATGGAGGATTGGAATGGACAGTTCTGGAGAAGGAATTTTGGGCGGCCGAACAAGTTAAGGACTTTAGTGATTCCAAACTCACTTTTTTGTCTTTCCCAAAATTAGTCACCTTTTTGTCCAATGAAACCCTGAAAATGATGTTTAGGCCATTCTTTCATCTTATATTGCATATTTGTTGAATTACTTTAAAGTCCTTTAAATTTCTCTCTTAAACACATTAAACTTCAAAAAGTTTAATAGTATGTTATAGGAGATGTACAAAATTATTCAAAAAGTTCACTAATATTCAATAAGTAATTACCGTGGATAAGAGTAAAACATAAGGCTTAAGCAAAATGAGGAGCGTGTCTTTCAAATTCCTCAAATAGGAGTTTCAACCGGTATTTAATTCAAATGTATGAGTTTCAATTCCAATTTTACCCCTACTCACATTTAATTTTATCCGCTATTTTCTTTCTGTCACGCAACCTCCCAATCTGGCTGCCCCACTTCTCTCCCTCTGTCACGTGTCCTCTCCCAACCTTTCTCTTTCTTATCTTATTCCTCTACTTTCTTCCCTAGCTCACCCCTCATTTGATCTCTTGCAATTCATCTAGCATCTCACATCCATTTTATAGATTTAATGAAATCACCATTTTAGATGAGTTTTTAGATGGAGAACGGATTTTATACTCATCTCCGGTGAAATTGAGTTATGAAATCAAGTGTGGTCAGAAATTTTTGGTATGCCTTCTTTGTCTTTTTTCTCCTCTTCTCCTTCCTCTTCTCCTTCTTCATCCATCTGTTATTTTGTTTCCTTTCGATTTTTTTTGTTATTTTCCATTAATAATTTTATTTAATAAATGCTATTTTGGATCTGGAATGTATTGTTTTATTTTAAAACAAAAATGTCCTCTTTTATAATTAATATTCGCAAAAAAATGTCCATCATTTGAAAATTGAAATTTATTTAATTTTATATTGTTAATTTTGATTAATTTTGAAATTAATGAACTTGCATCTAAAATTAAAGATTTGACTAATACTTATTAATTGAAAATTGTTAGATTTCATATTTTTCTCTCAATTTTGTCAAATTATTTTAACATAAAGATTTCTATTTCTAATCATTTTAAATATGGATCACCAAAAAAAATCATTCTAAATATGAAAATGTCATAATATCTCTTTCTATCCGAACATTGCTTTGAAAGTAAAGTCATTTCTATGGATTTACATAGCTAGTATCATGTTAACTCAATTGGCAAACAATGTCATTTTAAGGTAATAATGTCATTTTTAGCACTTGGCAAACAATGCCTTTTTACCGTAAGAGTGCCATTTTTAAGGCAATATTACATATAATGTCATTTTTTATATCCATAAATGCCATATTTTTCCAGAAAATTCCATAATTTTTCCAGAAAAAGCTATCCATAAATGCCATAATTTTTTCAGAAAATGTCTTGATTTTTCCAGAAAAAAGCCATGATTTTTAATCTCAAAATCCTATACATGTCTTTGGATATTGAGATGTTATACTAGTCATTACAATTATGAAGATGACAATCAGACTTGAGCATGCCAACAAACTTGCCACTGAATGTGACAGTCGCACCAGTCCACCACATGATTGACCGATTCCGACATACCCCACCAACACCGGAGATCCACTGCGGTCTTCCAGAAGAGGCGACAGATGGCGGCGAAGTGATGAATGCGGCTACAAACGCCCAACGGCGAAAGAAGTGGCGGTTGAGAGGTTTGATGAGACGATTAACGGCAGCAATTTGGGATGATGTGGCTGTCGGCGGTGCCACCGTCGGAGAAGACTGCAACCACGATCTAGGGTTGTAGTGTGGAGTATCATCACGACACCTCATCTCGCCCCACCTATTATCTTTATTTTTGAAAGCCCACTTGTTATTTTTTTTAAAAGCCCACATGTTATGTATTACACCGTATGAATGTATGATTTGCTTTCATTAAGGGTATTATGGTCAGTTTCTTTTAAAACTTCCGTGTGAAACATAAGTGATTCATAAGACTCCTATTTTGGCATACTTTCTATGTTTTACTCTCATATTGGTAATTTTCTCATATTCAATTAGTTTTGATTTTAATTATTATTAAGATATTTCATTTTTTCTTTAATTGTAATTATCTCAATCATAGGTTGTAATAATTAACAACTTTTGAAATTTTGAATAAAACTTTTTGAATAATAAATATACTTTTTGAAGTATATGATTAGACAAAGTTTACCTACCAAAAAATAGTTTTGCTAGATGAAGGGAGTAATCATTACTCATAACTCATAAACTTAACTTTAGTTGGATTTTATATTTATGGAGTAGGGAGTAATCCCTATCTAGTATTCATTGATTTCCTTCACGGTAGCAGAGGGAAAGCAGAAAGGAATAAAAAGGACTTTTAAAAATTGGCCTATTGGGTAGAAGAAGTTGTTGCAGAGGGTAGTATACTTCACCTTCCGATTCAAGCTAAGGAGGGTGAGTATTTTTGGAAGAAAATTTACAATTATAAGGGAATGTAAGATAATCTAAGGGAGCGGTGGGTTTGACATTACCGGGCATCTGATGCATTATTCACTTTTTAAGGAATGTAGCATTCCCGAAAATTATTCAAACGTAACCCACGGACCAAACGCAGATACCTCACATTCCCGACATCAGATTCCGACATGCATGAAGGATTACCTTGAAACAAACATACCCTTAAATCCATATCACATCTTCGCTCTCGAACAAGACTTAGGGAGTGTATTGAATATAAAATGTGCCGAATTTTTTAAATCCACAGGCTGTTAAAAAAGTCGATGCACTTTTAAAATTTATTTACTTTTTTTATGAATGAATTCTATTGACTTTTAAATTCATTGATTAACTTATATACTTTCAAAAAGTCCATAAATTTTTAAATCCGAACCGCCACTGCCGGTTATCGGCATGTTCACCTAGATCGCTACTACCGATCTGTCTGTCCGTCTCTGTCACCAAAGTTCTCCACCACCAACAAAATGACTTTGGTTATGCAAGCGAACTAGGGGTAATTAATTATACGAAGTATTAATTAAATTAGGAGTGGAAGTGTAATATTTAGTCATATTTAAGCAAAATCAAACATATGATCATACTCTGGAGAAAATGTTGTGTTTTAGTCCTACCGGAAGGTCCGGAAGTAATTTCCTCTGTATAATATGACAAGAAAAAATTAAATAAATAAATGAAACAAATGTAATTTATCTTGCAACACAGAGTTCTACAAAAATAAATGAAGAATAAGAATTCAAATTTATTGTTATTAAAAAGAAAACTCAAATTTTAAATGAAGAATAAGAATTCAAATGCTCAACAATCTCGGACTCTTTATGATCAATTGTTACATCACATAACTCAATTAGTAAGAACATTAATTGTTACTGAAGGTCCCTGTTGAGGTAAAAGTCTAGAGGGGTGAATAGACTTTTAAATCATTTTCATTTATCAACCATTTTTCTTTTAATAGAGTGAGTTCCAATATCCTTTGGGAGATATTGTAACGTTCAACGGAAGTCTTGAACTCATAAGTATGACACTTTATAGTAACAAAGGTTATGATGCTTTAATTTTAATGAAAGATGGTTTAAA